CTGCTTCATGTAAAGATGGAAACATAAAAGATTGAAATTCTGTGTGTGGCATTGTTTATATATTTGTTCTGATTCCACCTTATTCATCTCCTGTAAAAACCTGATGTCATTAACACAAGAAACAACTTCCTGTGCGCTGTAGGATGTCAGATGTTCTCTCCTCGACAGATACATATTTGTACTTTTCTGGCCACCAATATGCTGGGAACTCTGGGTGCTGCTGTAATAAATACTAGTGCTTAGAGCCACTTGAGTGGAAACATTCTGTAGTTGATTATAAGAATAAAAAGGAGGGAGGGAAATGAAAGTAGTAGATTGGGGAGAAAATACTGAATACAAACAGCTTTTGTTTATGAGGAAACTTGTGACCTGCTATTATTTTGGCAGTATGAGAGGATCTTTCACTTACTAGAGAACCGCTAGCATTTGCAGATCTGTGCTAAAAACACTTTGCTGATATAGCTGTAATGTGCTAGAAACACACACTGAGTCCGCAGTGATGAACTTTGCTTTACTGGCAAAGCTGTGCTGTATGTGATCTTCTGGTGTTACAGAGCTTGGGTAGCAAGTCCACAAATACATCTTCCCTCTGATGTAAGTGAGCTGCCGCTGCCATGCTAGAAGCTTTTGCTAGCAGATGCAGCACGTCTTTGTTCCCCCACATATGCACATATGTATATCTATATATATGCACGCTCTGAAAGGAAAGGAGGATCGTACAGTGGCTCTCTGGCCTGCAATATACCACCGCTGCCTTGTTGCCATGACTTTGGTAATAGTATCTAGAAAGAACATCATGTGACCCTTTTTTTTTTTTTTTCTTTAATTTGCCCCTACAGTTAGCAATCTCTTGTGTTCTTTATACAGAGATTTCCTGACAGCACTGGGGGAGAGTGTGTGTGGTTGGGGGGGGGGGATGTGAATTATTTTCCTTCAAAAAAATTAAATAAAAATCCAGGAGGCTTCATGTAAACACTGGGTGTTTGGTATGGCCTAGTGAAGCTTTGTACCACTCTCCGCCCAGTTACACAGAGCTTGCTTCTCTCTGCTCCGACTGCTGAAGAGCAGCTGTTCACAGTCTGCCATCTGCTGCACCGCTCGGCTTTCTCAAAGCTGCTGTAAGCTGTGGGCACAGAGCACAACAGAACGTCTGTCATCTGTTTTCAAGCCTTTGAAAAAAGTGTAGTCATAGCTGAGGCTCTGGACGACATGTGGTGGCCTGACCTTTGATGCTTCCCCCTGGCCCACAAAGCTGTTTACTAGAGACTTCTGAATATACACTGTTAAATTTGAGAGGAAGAAGGGGCATCTTTGAGCTGGTGATTTGTTTGCAGCACTCGCTGCATGTGTTACTGGGGATTTGATGACCCAATAAGAAGTGATCGTAAGGAACTTGGGTATATTCTGTCTTTTCTTTCTGAAGGCTGATATGTAAGGGGTCAGTCTTAAGAGCACTCTGACATACATGAATACACTGTGGCTGTGATGGCATGACAGCTGGTCTTTTCAGGTGAAATAAAATAGAGAACTAAATTGTGTTGCAGAAGAGAAACAAGGTGAACAAGAAGAGAAGTTAGTTCTGTTCTGTAACTCATGCCAAATCTAAAGTATGCAAAATATAATTGCTTTCTACTTCCATGTGTAACTTTATTTTGGCCCACAGGTATGTGTATCCACAGAAGCTTTGCATAGCTCTTTTTAACAATACTGTATGTGTCCAGTAGTCCGGAATCTTTCAAGGAGGAGGATGGCATGTAACTTTAAGTGTGTTCTTTATTAGCATAAGCATTGCTTTACGCTTTAACTTACCACTATACTTTTTTAAAATGAGGCTTGTATTTTACCATGAAGTGGCTGGGGGGGATGAAAGCCACTGTCAGTCTGACTTTAGCTGGTGGTGAAGCTACAGTGCTTCACCTGCAGTTACAACATGCATTAATTATTTTTTAATATTTTTTTATTGTGGTCAAAACGCACCCTTTTTGTTAGCAAAGAAATAGCCTGTAGCAAAGAAATGCAGTTTACTACGAGCCTGTGTATGCTGAAGCTAGGTAATTAGTGTTGCATGTGTCATAGAAATGGGGCTGACACATGTTTCTTCTAAGACTCTCTTAAGAGAAGGTAACATCCTTTCCAGGTAACACACCTCACCAGCTTCCCCTTTCCCAACACAGTTGTCTTCCCACTTAGGAAGCAGCTACAGTATTTCTTCCAATTCACGAAGATTAAAGTGTGCTTGGTTCAGCCTGACAGCAGGGTGTTTTGGGCTTCTTTGGATTTTAACAGTAAGTGACGTTCTTTGCTTACAGAAAAGGTTTGAAGTCTGTTATGGTAACTGCAGTGGGCTTCTACTTTTACACTGGTTGCCATAGGTACTGTGCCTGCTTCCAGATGCTCTCTAGCCAAGTGAGACCTTGTAGCTCTCAATTGAAGAAGCAGTTCTTACTCTAATTATATATTTTGTTAACTCTTGAAGTGTCTGATTTAGAGGATGGAATTAGAACCAGTAAACATCAAAACTGAATGGAAGATGCCATTGCCTTGGAGCTCCATTTACCTGAGCTTGAGTAAAAAACAGGCTTACCAATATGGTAGTACTAGTATTAAAGAGTTTATAAAGTAATTGACAAATATGTTCTGTTCAGAACTGAGGTTGAACTAAATAGGTAGGGTCATTTTTTAGGCTTTTATTTTGTCTTTTGTCAATGTGTCAGAATCAACTGTTCAATGTTGTTGCTGGCTGTATAACAAATAGAATCCAAATAAACAACCATTTTCTTTGTATAGATTTGCGAAACTACAGAGAGGGAGGAAATGCATAGGAAGCAAAGCTGAATGAAGTGTTATCAGTACTGAGGAATCTGAATTTCCTTTTTAGGAACTGGGTGGCAACTGGAAAAAGTTGAAGGATGTGACATAATAACTTGTAAACCTTTTCTTTGTTAGAGGCATCCTGAAAGCAGAGGTTTATACAGGGCTTGTGAATTATAGCACTTAGTATATTGCCTTTTGTTTAAACTTCTTTTTATGGACCCAGTTCAGCAAGTCAGGGCTCTGGAAAGCAGAAGTCTACGAAGTATCAGAAGTATCAAAGTATTAAGCCCTCTTCTGATGCCAAGCTAGAAACCCAGGCTAGATTTGAATTTTTTCCTCAAGCATAGCAGAGAAATTCTGGAGATGACTGAAGCTGTGGCTCTCACTGTGCATTTAAATGCACAGCTGTTTCACTTAATATTTTTTTGTCTCTGTTCTTGGAGCTGAAACCTACTTCGACTAAAGCTTCTGACTTTCAGCAGCATCAGCTACACATCTGACATTGTTTGTGTGGCTTATATTTTCATATTCCTTTCTTTTCCACCTGTACAAACAAAAACAGGAAGCAGGATTTTTTTTGGGGGGGGGGTGGGGGGGGGGTGTTGCCGTATCAGTTTCGGATGTGTTTTCTTGCCTGACCTCTTAAAAGGTGGTCTGTTAGTGTCAGAGTGATTATAAGCAGGCATTGTTACTTTTAACTTGGGTAGGGAAGGAACTAACTCCCCTAAACATATTAACCTTAAAAAAAGAAAGAAAAAGCCGATTTCTGGCTTCCCTTGAGTTGGTTTGACTGCAGCTAGCACTGAAAGGACCGCAAACACGTTGCCATCTATTTGAAGTACTGAAATGACTCATTAAATTAGGCCATCACCGCTACAGACTGTGTAGCATAAAACAGGCTTCTGTTAGCAGCCTGCTGTCTACACAATGCTTTCTGTTTGCTGCCACAGGAGGTACTCGTACAGGGCTGTGAGGGTATGACAAGGCCTCTCTTTCAGAAACACAATGGCAAAATGCATTTCATCTTGTCACTGGGATATACAACCTCATGGTCATCCCCTCCCTGCTTTTCTGTACACACAAACCCAGTCTTCTCTAAACATCTGCAGAGACCAGTTGCTTCCACCATTTCTTACCCTGTAGCCAACTGGTTTTATGCAGGACTTTCTAAATGTTTCCTGCCAAGACAAAGTCTTGTCGTTGACTTGCTGCAGGTGTCTTAATGTGTTATTTGCTTTGGTTGTGTAATTTGGTACTTTGTGGATATTAAACACTCCATGAACAACGGATAAAATGCTTTTTATGGACGTCCACGCTTATTCTTCATTGTGCTCATAGAAAATGTCTGGAATGTGTGTTATGTACTGTAATTGTTAGTGCCTGCCATGGGAATATAGTGAATAAAAGAGTTATTTTCCAGTAGCCCCATTTTAAAGTTGGAGGGGGCTTATTCGTTTACAGATTCAAAAGCATTATAACAAGCTTGTGCTTCCTATAAAGCATGTAGCTTGCAAGAAGCGTTGAGTAAAAAAGAGGGTTTGTAGGTAAGTGGCATTATTGTCTTCTAGATACTTACCTGAAAGCTTCAGCTGAATCACAAGTCTTGGAGTCTTTTCTTATCCTAGTCCCCAGTGCTAACTCTTTGCACCTTCTTCCTGGGTGATCCCTTCTGGGAACTTCCAGTCACAAGGAACAGAGTGTTAAAGGGCTGTAGGTTAATACTGAGCGTGACTTTTCTTGTGGAGGGAAGGGAACTGGAGTCTTAAGTAACCTCTTCAGAGATTTGTGTGTATTACAGTGCAGTGATCCTGATTCTGTTTGTGGTGAGACAGTTGACTGCAAGCAAGAAATGTTGTGTAGTGAGTAGAAATAAAATGTTTGTGTTCAGAGGCTAGAATTGAAGGTAGCAGTTCCCATCTGAGAGCTCAAGACAAGGAGGTACCATATGCGACTGGAGTGTGAGGCAACAGTTTGAAAACATGATTCATATGCTTCTTCCTCTTTGCATTCTTAAGAAAGCAGTTGTCTAACTGAAGATCTTACTAAAGATTTCTATGAATAAATATTGAACATATGGTTTCCTCTACTAGTTTACTAATGAAGTTGGAGTTGTCGGTTATGTGTAATGCTTTCTAATTCTGAGGTCACCAGCCATAAACAGTGAGGTTGTAGCTCAATTTAAACTAATGCAGTCTATTTTGCTTTCCCTTCCTTTTCTTACCAGCAGAGGTGTTTCACCAGTTCTTGCAGCGTCGTTGATCCATGCTGCAGTTGATGAAGTCCTCCAAGCAGACTTGACTGAATTTAAGCAGCAAAGTGTGGAAACAGAGGGAGAAGGAGATGAAGAAAGGTTCACCTGTAAGTATACTTTTTTCCTTCTGTGGTTTTTCCAGAGGCTGTCTGTTGGAAGACTTCAGTGTTTTGAAATGTTTCCCAGAATATTTGGTTAGGCTGTCTGGCAAGCAGCAGTGAACAGAACTTTATTTGCTCCTGGTGGGTATCTGTGGGATGAAAGGTAGCTATGCTAGTTTTGTGGGCAAGATGCAAACGTGATGTTTGGAGCCCTGGACTGATCATGTGGGTTGGCTTTCTGGAAAGGCAGGAGAGTTTCTCTCCCCAGAAAGAAGTAATGACTGTGTCCACGGTGCTTCCTGAACTGAAATAGTTAAGAACTTTTCTTTCCTCATTGGATAATTTCACTTAACTTGAACTGGTTCAGTTCCTATCTTGAGTTGATAACCTCTTAATTTTTGAAGTGCCTTTTTTTTCTTTGGTAGACTGACCTTAGCTAATTGCTCTTATGTTTTGACATGAGCATCATCGCAGTTGCTATTGTGCAGCCACACTGACACCTTAAATTCATCCATGTAATCTATTTTGCTTTTGTCTGTTCTTGGGAACCAGATTTTGGGACCTGTGGCCCCTCCACAACCTGAACATCTTGAAACTCCAGATCTTTCTCTTGGCAAGTTTCTCAATAGTCTCTGTCTTTATTGATTATTTCTTCTCTTCCCACCCTCCCCTATAAAGATGGGATGCTGAAGGATGAAGAACCTGATGCACATGTCTTCTGCCCGATGCCTGCATTTTCTCCTGTGTGAGTGAACTGGAGAGAGGACAGACCTTGGTGACTGAGTACTGGGTTTGTGCCTCATGTAACAGATGGTCCTATTGCATTTACATGCTGAAGTGTTTAACATTAGGCTTCACCAAACCTTCAATCCCAGTGCCAAGAATTTAAATGGAGCAGGATGCAGGCACAGTCGAAGATGAAAATGGAGAAGAGATGTCTTAGGCAAACTAGTCTATCCTGTAAGAGGGAATACTCGCCCTTCCATTTCCCTGCGATGACTTGAAAGGTGGTTCAGTGTGCCCCAGGGGATGTATCTCCAGGCAGCGGTCTGGTAATGGCTGGGATACGACACTTTCCAGAAGGCTATTTCAACATTCACCTACAAGACTGAAATGACAGGAGAGGGAACACTCAGAATCACAGAATGGCAGGGGATGGAAGGGACCTCTGGAGATCATCTCATCCAACTAAAGTAGGTTCACCCAGAGCAGGTTGCACAGGACTGCATCCAGGCGGGTTTTGAATGTCTCCAGGGAAGGAGACTCCACAGCCTCCGGGGGCAGCCTGTTCCAGTGCTCTGTCACCTTTAATGTAAAGAAGTTTTTCCTCACATTGAGGCAGAACTTCCTGTGCTCCAGCTGGTGCCCGTTGGCCCTTGTCATGTCACTGGGCACCACTGAAAAGAGCCTGGCCCCATCCTCTTCACACCCACCCTTTAGATATTTATGAGCATTGATAAGGTCCCTTCTCCGTATTCTCCAGGCTGAAGAGCCCCAGGTCTCTCAGCCTTTCCTCATAGGGGAGATGCTTTAGTCCCCTCATCATCTTTGTAGCCCTCTGCTGGACACTCTCCAGTAGTTCTCTGTCCCTCTTGAACTGGGGAGCCCAGAACTGGACACAGTACTCCAGGTGAAGTTTTCACCCTGAATATTTCACCCCTTGCCTTAATGTTTGTAGCCTTCATATGTCTGGAGAGACTTAGCAGGTTTCCAGCACTTTGTATGGGAAGAGTTGGCTTTGTATCAGCTTGATCGGGGTCTCAACAGTGTGCCCTGGCTCTCCTCCTCCAGCGCAGGGAGCTGTGATTCTGTGGCCAGCCTTCATGGGGAACGTGAGCAGCGGCACGCAGGACATTGGCAAACCTGTCCCCGGTGGGGCTGCGGGCCCCGGCTGGACTGGGCTGGGCTCGGGCTGGAGCCCCCCAGCAGCTCCGTATAGAACTGGCTTGCGAGTACGTTCCAGGGCCTTCAGAGATTCTTGTGGTTGCGTCTTCCAGGCACTTTGAGCTCAGTCTCCCTGGAGTGTCCTGTTTCTGCACTTCATGTTCTGTTTGTCCGTTAGCCTGAGCGATCACACGGACTTCAGTGCAACTAACCTAACCTGGAGCAGGATGCTGCCCGAGATGAGGAGCTGGCAAAAGAAGAGCTTTGCATGACTAGATCACTGCAATTGTAAGCAAATACAGAGGTGCAGGGAGCAGTGCTAGAGCATGGCTTTGTGCAGGGGAAACTGAAGGAGATCAAGGTACTTCTGTAACTGGAAGCTGTATGTTGTCCTAGAATCATTTCAGTTGGAAAAGACCTTTTAAGTTCATTAAGTCCAACCATAAACCTAACACTGCCAAAATGTATGTTTGTTATGTTTGCAGAAATGACCATAAGGCACATGGTAAGATCTCCCCATCTCCCTTGCATCAGAGAGAATAGTAGCTTACTGCATTGTGACTTTGTGCTCCAGTAGTGTATCTCTATTTGCTATCGCTCAACCTTTATAGGAAAATAAGGAACAGTATATTGTAACCCATGTATGATAGTTACATAGGATTTCAGCACAAATATTTCACAAAGCAGCTTGAAACTGGTCATCAGAACATCCTTCAGTCATTCTGCTGGTGACTCTTATGTACTTATTTTTGAGGTGAACTGTAGCAGTAATATAAGATGTGAACTGCTATATATTTGTGAGCCTAGGACTATAATTTCTAGTTCTGGGTCTTGTGAAAATATTGGGCCTACAGGCCTTCAGTTAGTGAACCTCATCTGAATGGCTAAGAAATTGTAATGTTTACAAACAGTGAGTAATGAAGAACTTGATAGGACGGACATTTTCTTGGTCACAAGCTTCTAATGTCTCTGGAATCCTGTATGGTTACGTTATATTGGTGACACTTGTACAATAATTCATGCTGCTGTTTTAATCTAAAGGCCATAAAGATACAGGATTGGAGTCTAGTTTTGAGATAGTGCAAGCAAAGTCAGAAAATCCTTGGACGAGTTCCATCTTGAACTAGTTTGGGTGCTGTTTCACTTGACTCCTTGTTGACAAATGCCCTAGAACCTTCCCTGTTCTGATGGTTGAAACCTTCTTTAATTTCCATCTTATATATTCCTGTCTATTTAATGTTTATTCGTTCTTGTGTCACCATTGTCATTTAGATCAAATCATTATTCACCATTCCCCTACTGAACATTCTGGAAATCTGCTTACTATTCAGGTACTTGCATTGCCTTATCTCAGCAAGGAATATCTACTTTAAAGGTATTAATTTCTCTGCACGTTTGGACTGTACTTATTTTCCCTATCTTGTACTTGCTATTACATCACTACAACTAGGAAGAAAGATATTCCTTGTGCTACAGTGCAGTATGGACTCTCTTTTACTCCATTGCAATAATAACTCTCTGGCAAAAAAAAGCATTATTGGAATGAATGAGAAGTGATATATAAAAGCAAGGTATGTACGTGTGCCTATATGAGTGCTGCTGTTTGGTGTGGTATACTGCGGAAGAATTTCTAATGTTTAGGTACTAAATTCTATGTCAGATCTCACAACCTTAATATTTACACAGCAATGTGTGTCCAAGTCTTCTGGTCAGTATTAGTCAAGAGATTTACGAATATATAAACTAACAGCTGTTCACAATGCTGTCCTATTTAATTATATTTGTATATGGGATGACTTAATAGTTAAAGGTTTCAATGTCTTGCTCATTCACATCTGCATATTAAGCAAACCAAGAGTAATTTTGGTTAATATGTAGTGACTGCTAATCAAAGATCTGTGTTGAAATTGAGGCTTTCAGTTCTTCAGGCCCAGAAATGCATCAGAAGCTGGCCATCCAGTGTTGCTGAGAAAAAGTAATGCTTGAGAACCGGGATCTATAAAAAGGAATTCTGAGGAAGCTTTAATGCTAGCAGTGTTAGCAGGAGTCAGGATAAAATAGAAATAGGAAAGATAGTTCATGCACTGTAGTTCTTTAGAAACACTTTAGTGACCAGCAAGTTATTTTTGCTCTATAGGTGATCTTTTCAATGCTTTTTGAAGTTGGTTGATTTAGCGTTGAGGCAGAGTTCTTACTCAAATAACGAAACTTTAAATTATTGCCTATTCTGAGAGAGACTGCATTGCAAAGCTAGACACAATGCCAAACACCAAACGATTCAGTCTGATGAACAATAAGTTTGGATTAATTGATCTTTGGGTCCTATCCAGAAAAGGATTTGAGTGTCTGGCTGGAGCTTTTCACACTATGCTCAATGGGTGTTTACAGTTCTGCTTTGTAATGACAAAGTAGGAAAGTGGCGGAAGTGTTCTTCTGTCCCTCTCGCTCCTACAACCATGTGTATTTAAAAACATAAAGGCAACAGCTTAAAATTCTAATCTGTTCAGCTCAACTAGGAGTTGAGCTATTGACCTCAGCAACACATTCTCAGACTTCCCTGTTGTTTCAGTGGAAGTTGTTTCAGTAGGATATAACCTGACCCAAAGCCAGGCTAATGGTTTTTCAACCCTTGTGTCCAAGACAACAGCAGTCTCTTCTCTTGAAGGCTTTTCTGCCTTTTCTGATTATTCATTCTTTTTTTTTTTTTTTTTTTGGTAGGGATGCACTTCTACCACTGGTCTTGTGCATTTTACGTACATAATAATAACATTTATGTCTAATATGCCAGACCGATTTTTGTGTCTTTGTTATGTTTTTTGTAATGTGATAAGCCTCTATTTTGAAAGAGATCTAGTAAGTAAAGAAGCTGCTCTTATCCATAATGTTATGCTGTTTTCCACTGCAACTTTCTCTCCACGTTATTTTCAGGACCCTATTTTAATTCTTGCAGAGCCTCTAAAGGCAGAGTTCTGCATGTGTGTGTGTGTAACTGTACAGAGGGAAACTTGAAGGAAAAACAGGCCAAAAGATGCGGTAATGTAGGAAAATGAGGCACAGAACTTACTGTTTTATCTTTGTGCTGGCAGTGCTGGATGGAGAGTCATTGCAGCGCTGCTTCTTTAACAAGCTTCGGGATGTTTGCTTCGAGTGGCAAAAGCAGCTGCCACCACTGAGACCACTGAAGCGGTTCCTGCTTGTTTCCATCCATGCCATCCGTAACACTCGACGGAAAATGGAGGACCGCCACGTTCTGCTCCCAGAGTTCAATCAGCTGTTTGGTTTATCAGTAAGTCTGGACAAAATTGGGGAGGCCAGTTAGTTAGCTTTTCAGCATTCCTGTAAACACGATGACCTAGTGATGGATGATCTTGAAATGGTAAGAATTTGTTGCCACAAGTTATTTATCATGTCTGTGCTGGAGTGAGGACTTACTGACTCAGATCGCTAGGGGCTAACTACTGCCCTGATAACGAAGGATCTTGTGACCTTGGATTTCATGTCATAAGTGGTACAGGGAGACAGAAAATTCACCTGGTGTAATGTTGCTGGAGTTATAATGTTCTTGTGACTGAAGTAGCTGATACATTTAAGAAAAGAAGGGAGGAGAGCAGCAGTTGTACAAGTAAAAGTGCCAATTAATGAAGCTGCAGTGGGACTACATAACCAGCTGTCTGGTTATCATTATTAATTTCAAGGATATTGAATGACTAACAGCAAACAAAGAAAAGTAATTCCCCTGCAAAGTACCCATTTTATCCATTTTGCACATGGGTAAACGGACTTAAATTGCCCTCACCTATGCAACGTTGTATGAAGAAAGCCCAGAATAAAGAATCTCTGCTTGCTGGTACCAGTCTATGAGCTGTTTTGTTTTTGAACATGAATATGTCTTCCTTTCTCTCTCTCTCTGCGAAAGGATGACATTGATCGTGCTTACTTTGCGGTGTTTGATGGCCATGGTGGAGTGGATGCTGCCAATTATTCAGCAACCCATTTACATGTAAATGTTGGGCTACATGAAGAGATTGTTAAGAATCCAGCTGAGGCCTTGAAATGCTCTTTCCAGAAGACAGATGAAATGTTTCTTTTCAAAGCCAAAAGAGAGGTGAGTGGGTAGAGATTAACTGCATTATATTTAAGTAACACTGAGAACTGTTGGACAACATGGTATTATCCAGAAAATTCTGGCAGTACAGTTTCTTTGAATGACTGACTTTATGAATTTATGCTACATGTAAAGGTTTTCTCTGATCAAATTATTTATTTTTTTGAGGAAAAACAAAATGACAGTGCTTGCAAGTCCAAGGTGAGTGACTGAAAAGAAGCATTAAGTGGTTTAAATGATCCAGACATAGCAATTATTTGAGAGAACGCTCTGCTGCCTCTTTGCCTAAATTAGGCAGCCTCTAGATGTTCTGTTGTCCTGTCTCTTACCTGGAAAAGATAATGCAGTCACTCTTCCTGATAATACTGTCACTATCTTCCTCTTTCTTGGCTCACCATTAATGCCACAGGTGGTTGTAAGATGAAAAAAGTATTCTATGATTTAAATCAGACTTTTTGGTTCACAAAGCTTATTGATTATCTTTGAATCAAGTTGGTATGATGGACATTCTTTCTTCAAATCTACATAATGGGAGAATGGTTTATTGTACAGTTTAATGAGAACTCTTATTGTAGCAGTAACTGAATATTGAAGTATTCATTGTTAATGTCTTCATTTCTGTCACTGAGGTACAAAAGAGGGACCAGCATCTTCATGAGGTGACTCTCACTAATCTTTACAGGGAATCTAGGAGAGTTAGGTTCCTTCCTTTGTTGACATCCTCATTTGAATACCAAAGGATAAGGGGATGTATGAGGAGCAAGGTGTCTGTAGTTGCTAGTGGTAAAGTGGAGAATGTGAAAGTGATTGGTGAGACCTGTGTGCGTTTGTGAAATGTTCATACTACTGAAATTCAGATCCTCTTTCTTTCCTGTGTGTGTCTATGTTTTGAACAATAACGGTCTTGGTCTCCTAGATCATTTTGGAATTAATAGCAGAGAAGGAAGAATGTAAGAGAGGCAGTATTAGCCATCTGCGTGTCAGAATATGTAAATAGTTCATTTCAAGTCTGTCTAGTATCTTGCACCTTTTTTTCAGGTACCTGAACTGTGATTGGCAGGTCTAGTCTGCTGCATTTAAGTGTGATTAAACCTAGGTTTACAATATTGGCATGTAACCTAGTAGGGCTTGTTGAATATTCACCTAACACACCTATTTTCTTCTGCAGAAGCTGCGGAGTGGTACAACAGGTGTATCTGCATTGATTGTAGGGAACAAGTTACACATAGCATGGCTAGGGGACTCGCAGGTAATGCTTGTGCAGCAAGGAAAAGCTGTGACGTTAATGGAACCTCACAAACCAGAAAGAGAAGTAAGTCTGACTTGGTTTATTCTCTTGTGTGTGTTGTCAGAATCTCTTTTAAAACCCCTTGGAATCAAACCTTCTTAAGTGTTTGGTGCTTTACGTAATTACGTATATTGTATGGTAGGATTCAGAGAATTGACAATTTTTTTCTGTCCACTCCTGTGTCTTGCAAAGGTGATCCCTACAACTCTTTCCCCTTGAAAGTGATGGAAATGATGGTACTGGTAGTCCTGACTTCAGTTCTGGCTCAGATTGTCTTTTCAAAATTTGTAGTAATTAAAGACACTCACAGGATTTTGTGTGTGTGTGTGTGAATTTAAAACTGCCTGTTATAAATTAACTTATTAATTTGAAATTAATAGCTATTTATAAAGTTAGCTTTATGCAAGTCTTTCATAATATGCTATACTGTCATTCAAAAGCTAATGATAATCTACTAGCCTAACTGGCTTAAAGTGTATTGGATTTTCTATATATTTTAAATAGGCAGGTATTTCATTACATGAAATTTGATGAGGATCTTGCAAGTTTAGATAGCATTACATAACCCTTTGCCTTCGTTGCATGAATATTTGTAATAACTGAGTAGTTAAAGGAATATCAATGCAGATGCTATTGTTACATACTCTAGTTCTCTTGTATTTTATTCCAAATATTTATATATTTACCCAAGTGCTTCATGGGCTGGGAATAAATGGCAGAAGAGGGTACTCATCCATATGGGAAAGAACATGATGATACAAAACCTTAAGAATTCTGCTTTTTTGTGGACAAGCAATGCTATGATTGGGAAGTAGGTGGGTTGTTTCCAGTAATCTTAAGTGCATGTTTCTGAGCTAGATTCTGACGTGTGTTTGCTATATTCATATAGCATGAACACAGAAGCTGAAGCAGCTCTGGGTTTTGGGTTTTGTTTTTGTTTTTGTTTTTTCCTTTTTGATTTGGTAACAATGTCAGTAAGCCATGGGTAGGCTTTCAGTATAAAAATTGTATTCTGCTGTTTTTCAGGATGAGAGAGCACGTATTGAGACTCTGGGTGGTTGTGTAACCTACATGGACTGCTGGCGGGTTAATGGTACCTTGGCTGTTTCCAGAGCAATTGGTAAGATAAACCATCAGAATTGGTATAGTTCAGATTACATTTAAAACACTACCTGAGTCTGTATGTTTACTGTAAATGACGTTTTGCGCAGCATCAACCAAATAGTAAACCACTCTTAGTGTGTTTGCCCCAGGGCTAGCTGACAGCTATATGGCTTACGTAGCTTGAAGCTATATGATCTTACTGGTTTTACCATAAGCATGGAATATTGTTTTATTTTACATACTAGCCATGACAGTCCTAATTCTTTTATACTTCTAAGTCTTTTACTTCCTTGTCACGGTTTGAGGCTGGGC